GGTGATCTCGGTTGCGTTTGTTGTATCCCAGGATACTTATCGAGAAGTGGCTGATAGAGTGGGTCTATCATATGTTTAACTGTGACTGGGGATACTCTGCAACCAGTGAAAGAAGTTACGCAAACGGACAAATTAGTGTTTCCGTCTACTAGCCTCCGTTTGCGCGTGTCGATGATCAGATTATGGTGTTGTAGAAGATCCATACCAATGATTGGCATAGAAACATCAGCAACAACGAAGATTCAGTGAATGGGTTTGTGTAAACCCACGTTAAGGTAAACGTACCTTTTGCCATACGTAGTGATCGGTTTTCTGTTTGCCGCCTGTAAGTTTAGGGTCGATTCGTGAAGTCAGTCGTTAGGATTTGCTGGGAGAACGCTAACTTCTGCGCCAGTGTCGACGAGGTAGCGAACTCTCGTTGTCACATCTGTGACGAATAACAGACGGCTTTGTTCGCCGGCTACGGTTGCCGTTAACGCGTGCCGGCTTGGAAGTTTCCCGAATTGCTTTTCGAATCAGTCGGTTTCGTGTTGGGAAAATCTCAGGGTTTTCTGCAATTTCTGGAAAACTTTCCATACTGGTTATGATACCAGCACCAGTCGGGGTTATCTGTCTCTCGTGGTCTAGAGACAGATCGCTTACGAGAAATGCTTCTACGTGGTGTGCGCGATCTCTTACAGTCGGTACGAAGACTAAGATAACGCGTGAGTGTGTGACATAAGTCGTTTATATCATTCTGAGTCGTTTGAGGTTTTTCTTTGACTGAAAATACCTCGGTAGTAGAAGGTTTCGTAATTTCTAAAATGCGGTCGGCAGATGCAGCTAGCTCTTCTAAGGCGTTGTTCTGGAACGAGACCAGAACTGCTTGCACCTGTTGGGGAAGTTTTGACAAGAAGAGTTGTTTGAATAGAGCTTCGTCGAAAGTTCTTGGGTCTATTACTTCTCTCATCCGTTGCAACATGTCCGTCGCAGAACCGTGTTGCAGGTCGATATTGTTGAAGAGTTGATCTAACCTTTGTCGATCGGTTAGGTCTCCTCGTTTAAGAATCGAGCGTTTTAAGATTTCGTAAGGATCGGAAACATCACTAGTAAACATACTAGGTGTTACGTACCTGTTGAATTCGCGCGGTAGTGCCTTGACCACTGCGAGGAATTGTGCACGTGTGTCGATCACGCCGTGCTCGTGGAAGTCGGCTTCTGCGTAGCAAAACCAGGCTTCGATGTTGTCGGGCCAGAAAGGCATCAGTTGAAACGAAGGCGGGGACAAAGTCTTAAGCTTGAGTACTTTAGGTGTCTGTTCAGTCATGATGAAGTATGAAGTACGATAATGAACGAGGGGAAAAGATATATATATCCAAGAAAAAACACGAAAAAAAATCACAATGTTTAAAATAAAAAATAAGACAATGATATATAAAAATCCCAAAAAGGAACAGACTCACAGTTGCAATAAGGTGTACCAGATCACGTCGGTCTCACCAATGATGATGTCACAGGTATTCAGTGTTTGACAACGCTTCTACCAGTAACACCTAATATATTTCGTTCCCACCCAGAGAAATCAAAAGACAGAGTCGAGGAGATCGGAAGAGTATATTTGGCGATTACCAATATATCGGAATTCTCTGATCTAATCTGGCTAGCGATTGTGGTTGATGTTGAGCACGGCGTTACCACACGTGATCTGGTGCGGATGCCTGACCGAGCGCCTTCAGCTAGATGAGTCCACTAAAACATATGGTCAGCATCCAATGTCGAAAACTTACAGTGCTATTTATTTTGGGGATTTATTTACCGCTACAACCTCAAATCTTGGACTAAAAGACATAGTCCTTCTAAACCTTGGTCGAATTGAGTAGTGTATAAACTTCTTAATACAGGAAAGTTTGTTAGTACAAAACTTCTATCTATTTAACATCTGTCCAAATGATTAAACAGTACAATATTTGCTTACCTACAGCCTGCCTACGGATACTGTCGGTTCAAAGCCTGAACGAAAGAGGAAGGCTGGATATGAGGTCAGCAATCTCATCACGTAGAAAACAACCCTGACCAAAAATTCATTTAAATTCTGCCCTGATAATCAAAGGATCTTCATTTAGAAGAACTATTACTCCTCATGGTGAAAGTCGAAATTCTTTGGTAGTCAAAAAGCAATGGAAACGAGAAGAGACAACTTGGCGATTTTCAGAATAAACAAAACTCATTCCAATCAGTCTGGACAGAAAATATTAGCTTCTATAGAGGTGCTGTTATACTCAGGTCATGATGCGGAAGGAAATATTTTGCACACAAAAGGAGTTGCGAAATCACTATCCAAAGAAGCATGAAAATCACTTACAGGATGAGAATCTCATGGATCCAGAGTCATCCAAGTACTTTTCAGAACAAAGGAGAAGATTGTAATGAATGCTACCCAGTACTATGCGCCCAACAATGATAGAAGTGGAGACGAGGAACGCCACGTTTGTGAGAGGTTGCAACCAATCATATGGAAAGTGGTTAAGAAAAAACAACTGGAGGAACAGCATTACAAAGTCTGATAGATATTATCTACAAGTAAGCATTTATGTAGCAGCATTATTGACAGAATTTGTATATGCACTCAATATTCGAGAAAACAATGTTTAAATGTATAGCACATAGGAGTTTCATTTGACCGGAAGACCCACAAAGATTTTGACTTGTTTCCACTATTATATGTAAACATACAACGAATACATTTGAGCCAATTAACGTATAGTTTTTTGGGAAAGACCACAATAGTGTTTATCTAATTATTGACGACCCTTTTCCCAAATAAATTCTGTATTTTAAGTGGCTTGATGGAATTTTGTAGAATAACATTAAACATAAGGAATCATGAACACACTGATAAACCTTATATTTGTAAGACTCATAACGATGAGTTGACGACCAGCAAATTACCCTTGGAAGTTCCCTAATGGTACAAGAAATCTATATGATAAATTCTAGCGTTCACACCATGAAATAACAGTAGCAACTTTTCATACCGAAGTAAAAGTGGAATGCAGTAAGTACTTGAACAATGACCGTCCACATATTTGTGAGTAGAACTTTAACAACTTATAAGTGTTAGTTGTTACCAAAAGTATTTGCTACAGTGATGCTTTCCCAACACTCAGAGTCTAAGTGTAAATTGCATGATGATAAGATCTAATCGACAACAACCACTTGACTTAATATAAGGGGTCGTACCGCGAATTTATTCCTGAGCTGTCAGCTAACAGAACCTTTGTACCGCTACAACTTGAAGCCTACATCTGATAAATGCAAAATTTCGAAGTTTATGGGGTTGTTGAAGCCCAATAGTGCGTTGTGGATAGGTCCATATTTCTTCTGAATGGTATTCATCACATGATCCAGTAACCCTCAAGATGCTTGTTGATGAGAAGCATTGTCTTGAATCTCGAAGACAGACGACTTTAGCACAGCAGAAATCTTTTAAAAATAAGTAGTCTGATAATAATAGGCTTAAAGATGCTAAAACATGGTGCGGAATGGGATTTATACAGAAATGGCAGAGATAGCTAGGAAAGTTTCTAAAGTAGTACTACAAAAACGCAACTAACTCCACCATTTGTATAATAAAAAACTTATCTCTACTTTTAACGCGATATAATTAGGGAATCTTGCTGTCAGTGACTTAACAACCATCTTGAAATTCCATCAAATACGGAAATTACTCCCAACATTTGAGTCAACATAAAGTTGGGCTCACCGAGTATACACTGCTTGTATTGAATATCGTTTGGACTATACTCTGATTCTCTATAATTGATCGTGTATCTGGTATAACACGATCCAGTCTGTATGCAGCCTATCGACCAAGTATCTAGTTTGGTGGCAGGATAATTTTAGTTGTCAGGCGCGTTGTAGTATGTCATGCTAAATATAAAGTATTTTTATTCTCGTGTTATATTTGAGAAATTATTACAAACGGAATGAATATAACTGAGTGGGCAATAACTTTTTGTATTATATTTGACAGATCGTCACCAAAGTCAGAAACATGTCAATATTGCAGAGGAATAATTCAAAATAATATTATCTTTGTGAACAGGTTTGTCTGTTTATCGACCATCAGTATCACACGTAAAGCATCCTCACCACCATTTCCACACCAAATATATGCTGATACGTAGATTAGTGAAAATAGCTATAGTTGTTCACGCTGTACATTTTTGTTTTATTTCACCACATTTAGCTGGATGTTATTAAGTTAATATTTAAAATCACCTTCCAGTTTCTTTGACAGTTTATCTTGATATTAACTTAGACCTTCGGAAACATGTTACTATTGACCAGTGATCCGCAAATTAAGACCCTAGATACTTAGTAAGCTTTTGGCTTTAGGTTAACTAAATTATCTTGTTTTCTCAATAATTAAGAAAAAATCACAGAATCTACATGCGTATCTCGAAAATATATAGCCATTAATGTTACCAGGGACTACTCGCTGATAAAACAAGTTATGATCCACCTGAACAGTATAACACTAGCAACCGATTACATTCAAATGTTTTGTCGTTATTGGAGTATTACCTATAGGGCCACTTACATAACCAACAGTGAAAAAGGTTTGTTGCTTTAGTGAGATGATAATAACAGAACATTTGATACAATTCTGTCATATGTATATTGTTTAAATGAATGTAGAAAACTTTCTACCTTAGAAAGAGGCTTGATCACAAACCAGGTAAAAATAATTTTCTACAGATTGCCTGTAAAATACGCACAATATTTTTTACCAGTTTCACTTACAACTTAATCCATAAAGCAGTAGTTCAAAGATAATAAGAAACACTAAATCCGGAGCTCTAGCTATTATAAAGAACCAGATAGATACAGAATTTGTTCAACAAATTATTTACTGGGTTTTTTATCCGATACCAAAAAAGTTTACTACTCTTAAGCATATAGAAAAGTAATGAAGTTAAATCCCCTGAACCAATGTGACAGTCTCAAGAAATAAAATGCCTCAACTAATCGATGTATTTTCATTTTAAAAATTGGACGTAAATAAAATCAGAACGATACGTGTTTTTCTTATCATCATAATAATTGTAGCTTACTTTGTTGAAATGTCAGTAATAAATTCTCAAAAACTATCACATAAAAGGGACAATGTTCCAATCACTATAAAATACATCTTTGCACTGTAAATTAAAAGTTAAAACACCGTTTTAAGATTTAGATATCAACTCCAAGTGATTTTAACGCTTGCTTCAAGTATTTCACGGTTGTTTCTCTATCCTGATAATTTGATGCACTCAATGCACATTTGATATCTTTTTCTACATCCAACCAATTTCTTGTTGTAATATTATTATCAGATGCAGATGGATCAGGACTAGGTGGTTGTTTAGGTATGCAAGTGGTGGGGACTTCATGAGGTTGTTGATTTGTTTCATTGTTGCAGAGATTGTTTGTATTTGTTAGTCCAGAAATATCTACACAAGTAAAATTATTTCAAATGAAAACTTAAATGTTATAAAACTATCTGTCGTACTGCCTAAGTAGAATTTTGTGAAAGGTTAAATTACCACCTAATTTTCCGAATAAAAACAAACACAATTCCATAATTATTTACAATTCTAGCTATACGCCAATATATCCAAACTAACGAGTAGTATGTTTACTTCTAATCCTACCTTCAATCATATCACATTGCACTAAACACTTTCAAAAATGTAAGCATTTATTGTATTAGAAATTGCACTGCTATCCTGAAGGTTAATTACTGATCAATATGTACAAGTTGGAAACACTATTATTATTATTATTTTGTTGACGTTTTCTGAGAACAGGGTAATGTTATCTTCATATCCAAAAGATTATGGTTGACAAGCCCCTTAGAGATTACATCGATCATCACAACTTTCCGACATAAATGCTTCACACATGTAAAAAGTCTATCTAAACCTTAAAACATTTTGTCACTACAACAACAATCTTTAACAATTTTCCTAAATAACCAAACAATAAAAAAATCAATTAAATATTCAGAACTTTCTTCTTGTATGTACCGTTATGAATTCTCTTATTGGCTATATATAAATGTTCAATAATCCCAGTCTAAGAACTTAATCGAATGACAAGTTAATTAGTTCCAAATGGCTTGGATTATCGTCTTAACAGTACGGCAGACGAATAAGAAATGAACACCCTGATAATAAAAAAAGTGAAGTAAGACAGGGCGGTTATTTCGAGATTGTAGTCTAGACTAGTTTAAATAAGGGTAATCAGCCTTCTGGCAATATTAACATTAAATAAAATCAGTAATTATCTCACTAAGAAATTAGAAAAAGACGATGAAAGTGGATAGGGCATACATTGAGGAAATTATCAAACTGCATCACAAGGCAAGCGCCAACTCGGAATCCTGAAGGGAAACAGAAAAGAGGAAGACAACGGAACACACTGTGTCGAGAATTGGAAGAAGTGAGAAGGATGAATAGCAAATGGAAAGAATTTCCCAGGACAGAGGTGGATGGAGAATGCTGATGGGCGGCCTATGCTACTCCACGAAAGGTACCAGACGTAAGTAATTGTAAAGACACAAGCAAATTAGAAAGTAATGGTTACAGAAAGCAAACATATCTACATACTAATAAATCACTTTATCCTACATTCGTTATGTATGTAGTATAACCAATATAATCTCACTACTTAAAATTAATACTTGTCACTAGTTGGCCTCGTCACGTGAGGGTAATGTTTTACTCTCTTATAACCTTCTTATGTCCTTTAGGACAAAGCATATTGCAGGAGGTTATACTCCTGTCCCAATACAAAAAATATGTCATTAGTGATATGCTTAGTGAAGAAGATAATGAGTTCTTATATTCGAACTAGGTGTAAGTATAGAACAAATCTGAGCCATCAAGTAACATTTAATAGGTGAGAAACGAGAACTAAAATGTTAAGAAAACATTTTACTAAGAAAATATTTACTTAATATATTTAGGGGTTCCGACTTAATAGCAATTCCGTATGCGACACCAACCTTCCGAGATCAGTGAGGCAAAAAGCTATTTCCAGAGGAATGTTTTAAAAGTTGAATAGATATAGAGAAAGTATATGAATCGGATAAGTAGAATCATCAGAGTGAATATGGTAATCAACTTTCCATACGTTATCGCACAAATATAAACGTTGAAGTCTTCAAAATTGATATCCATATTTTACTTAATAAGATAATAATATTATTTACAAAGCAGTGAAACAATTACATACAACCCTATTGTTCGTTAAATATATTGATAACAGCATTATTTAACTTTGCTTAAAGCATAGTCAGTCAGTCAGTAACAACGTAGAACTTCGTACGTACGTAAAGCATAAGTTGATGAATTTTAAAGTCTACATGATCAGTGAAAAAATATTCAAACTAAAATACCATAAATCGAACATGACTGAATCAGTTTAAGTAAACTTGAGGTGTATTTATGTTACACATCAATGTGAATTATAAAGGAAGTATCGTCAAGAGGATTTGTGAAGAAGGGAACTTATCATGAACTGATGTTAGTCCACTAAACCATAACTTTGTGTTGATTGGCAAGTAGCTTCGAGATGAATTCTCAGACGTCGTGATGTGGGACTGCGATCTATGAGGTCAACTGAACTATGAAAAAACAGAGACTCCCTGATGACATTAGATGAGGATTGAGCTATTGTACAAATTGATTGAACATGAAAATATAAACCAATGAATTATGGTTCCCCATTTTGCTGTAAAGCCTCATGGTTAAGGGACAGATTCAGAGTAGGATTACGGTAACATATTGCTGAATAGTTTAAAACCGAAAGAAATCCACTCTTTAGTGCTCCCAGGTTTCGAGAATTTCTCTAAAATACGTCAATTAGTGATGGAAATTACCTTTGAATATTTATGCACGTGCATAATTCAAATGGGTATGAATTTTAATACGCAGTTATTTAAATATATGAAACTAGACACACAAACTACTAGTACAAATTATTTATTCTTATGTATACTCAAGAAAGCTAGTGAATGCCATCAGAATGTCACATATAAAAATTGTTCAACAGGCAGAGAAAACGAATTCTTTAGTAAAAGCCAGTTGGTTTGAGTTAGAAAACTGAAAAGCTGTAATCACAACTAGTACATGTCACATATAATGTTATTGAAATAGGTTAAAGAGTAGCGCTTTTGTATCTGGACCAACTAAAGAGCATGAGTTCCGTTACAAAATGAAACTACTACGGTTTAGACACAAAAAGTAAATGAGTGTCAAATAAGGTTCCCTTACAAGCAATCAAGAAAATCTACTGATATGCAACTTCTTCAGAAAGCTAAACGCTCAGACATAGTACTCGCAGGGGGTGACTTTAATGCTCAGATAGGTAGCTTAAACCAAACAGAAAGGCATTTAGGTGGATATTTTAGCATTCCGGCACAGCGAACAGATAATGGTGACCGTCTGCTGCAACTGTGCTCAGACAATCGCTTATTTTTAGCAAACACAAATTTTAAGCATAAGGAGAGACATCGTCTAACGTGACGACCGCCTGCACCAAACCAACGATGGACTCAAATAGACCATATTGCCATCAGTCATCGTTGGAGAGGGTCGGTACAAGATTGCCGCTCATTCTGGAGTACCTGCTTGGACTCCGACCACGCCCTAATACGGTCACGCATCTGCTTGCGCCTCACTGGACGCAAAAACGCCACAGTAAAAAGATCCATTAGAACCGAACTGAGTAGCGAGGAAACCAAAAGTAGGTTCCAGGAACAACTGAGGTCACACTTAGGTAGTTCTGAAAACGAGGCTGACCCTGATGTTGTTTGGAAAGCTATACAAACAGCTGTGGAAACAGCAGCGACATCTATCGGTGATTTAAACCACAGGGTTACAAAGAACCAATGGATTTCCTCTAGGTCTATTGCACTGATGGATTCTCGTAAACTCATCCCATCAGGCTCTGAACACGATGAACAACGACAACATTTCAGATCTAGGTTAAGCAAAAGTCTAAGGAACGACCGTGAGCAGTGGTGGGCAACGAAAGCAAAAGAGATAGAAAAAGCGGCGGCTATAGGAAACACAAGACAGCTCTACAGACTAATAAAAGAAACTGGAATTAATAAGTCAAGTGTAAGTGAGACTATTTCGGAAAAAGACGACACCCTCATCTGCTCTCAGTTCAGACGTTTAGAACGATGGGCGGAACATTTCAGAGAACAGTTCAGCTAGCCTTCAACTACTCTACAACTACCCTCCATTCCCAGACAGTGTGAATGGAACATTAAAGTAGGTCCCCCAACTCTAGCTGAAGTTCAAGAGGCTATAGCTAATCTGAAACGAGGAAGAGCAGTTGGTCCAGATGGATTGGCTCCAGAGGTCTTTAAGGATGGTGGTCCAATTTTAGCGATTAGGTTGACTAATATTTTAGCTAAGACCTGGGAGTTAGACGTTATCCCATCTAACTGGTCACAATCACTTATCGTCCCAATATATAAGAAAGGGTCAAAATCATCCTGTGACAACCATAGAGGGATTAGTTTAACTAATATAGTATCTAAGATACTAGCCTCGATAATTATCGGACGCTTAACTAAGACTCGTGAACTGCAGACACGAGAGAATCAAGCTGGCTTCAGACCTGGTCGTGGCTGCATCGACCACATATTCACCATTCATCAGATTCTAGAACACAGGCATACTTACCGGCGTCCGACAATTGTGGTCTTTCTTGACTTAAAAGTAGCATTTGACTCCGTAGACCGCGAGATTCTGTGGCAGTGTCTGTCATTGAAAGGCGTACCTCAGAAGTACATAAACCTCGTGAAGGTTCTTTACTAGAACACTATTAGTCGAGTCAGAGCTTATGGCGAGCTGTCATCTACTTTTGCAACCTCAAGTGGTGTCCGTCAAGGCTGTCCACTTTCCCCATTTTTGTTTAACTTCATCATAGATCTACTGATGGAAATAACTTTCTCGTCGACTGAATTCTCGGGTATTGATCTCTTACCAGGAGGTCCACTTATCGACTTAGAATACGCAGATGACATAATCCTGTTTGGTGAAGACGCTGACAAAATGCAGAGTCTTCTGGTAGCACTGAGCAACAATGCCAGGATGTTTGGAATGCGCTTCTCTCCCTCGAAATGCAAGTTGTTGCTTCAGGACTGGTCTGCGTTAACACCTGAACTAAGGATAGGGAGTGAATTAGTAGAACGCGTAGAAAACTTCACTTATTTTGGAAGTCTGATCAGCCCTAATGGGTTGGTATCGGACGAAATCTCAGCACGGATTCGAAAAGCTCGATTGGCTTTTGCCAACTTGCGCCACCTATGGCGAAGGTGAGATATCCGTCTATCAATAAAAGGACGAGTATACTGCGCGGCAGTCCGTTCTGTTTTACTTTACGGTAGCGAAACATGGCCATTAAGAGTAGAGGACACTCGTAAGCTATTAGTATTTGACCACAGATGCCTCAGAAATATTGCTGGCATCTGCTGGGATCACCGGGTAAGTAATAGTGAGGTTAGACGCAGGGTATTAGGGAATGATGGTAAATCAGTTGATGAGGTTATGAATCTTCATCGACTGAGATGGTTGGGCCACGTGTTACGTATGCCTGAACACCGATTACCACGACGTGCAATGCTATCCGGTATTGGAGATGGTTGGAAGAAAGTTAGGGGCGGCCAAACCAAAACGTGGCATCAGTGCTTGAAGTCACTAACTTCTAGTCTGAGCCATGTTGGTAGATGCAGACTACTTGGTTGGGGTCCGCGTGACTTTCGTAACCAATGGTTGGAGACTCTTGGTGACATGGCTCAGAATCGATCACAATGGCGTCGGTGTGTACACTCCCTGTCTTCCCTTAAACTAAGAGATTAAAGTCACTTCATATCTTTCTTTCTACGAACCAATTCTTTCTTCTTGTACTATATCTCTATATGCAAACTTTCTCTTATATATTACCACCTTTGACCTAACCACTTCTATAAATCCAGTGTGCATCTTGTTGTGCTGATGCGGTATGGCAACCTGGACCGATGCACATATGTGCCTGGTCCTACGTTATAGCTGACTGACTGACTGATATGCAACAAAGTCCTAAGCAAACAATTCAATTATTATACATACAAAAGAATAACGTACTTGGGGTGTAGGCAGCTTCGGTGTTAGCAATAGGACCACCTACTGGAACTTCGCCAGATTTCAAGCATTTGCTGATGTAAACGGCCTTCCATTTGGCATACTTCCTGGTCTTTTCGATCTATCATTAGAAAAAAGTATATCACCGGATGAGTAAATGATAGCTCACATCATCACCTACTTCTCCAACTCCAGAAACAACGTCTAAGAGTGTAGCAGCTGAAAGAAATAGTTTTACAGTAGCACTTAAGCCTGTTAAAAGATCATATCATACGTACGGTCCGAAGTCGGAGTTTATATCCCTCTGGTAAGCAGCATCAAACAACTTGAGGGCATACTGTTCAACATAAGGAATCCCAACAGTTTCATTCGCAATTTCTTCACAGTTTGAATTACTCCTCTTTAATTCTTCTAACTTATCCATGAGAGTTGTCAAAAATGCCTTGATAGGGGGTGATTTTTGAATCATACTTAAACCTTTTTGAAATGCATGCAGGAGACCTGAGGAATCATATGTTGAGACTAATTGAAAAACTTACAGTAGTATGTGATAGTGGGGTCTTTCGCCGAGTGATCCGAAGCACATCTTAAGAACACGTTCAGATGGGAGAGTTCTTTCGGTACATTTGAAAAATTCATTATTTACAGCTGGAACTGGTAATGCAAGGGGGGATTGTGACTGTGTAGTCGGAAAAAATTAGGGCTTTATATATCAGAGAAATGTTATTTAGACAACACTGGGGATGAAACTAACCCGCATCTATTCCCGAGGTAAAAGTAATGACAGAATAAAGTAATAAGATCTTTAAAAAACCCAGAGATATTATTTCAATACGATATGAAGCGAACTAAGAATTGGAAATAATACTAGTTTTTGATTTCAGAGAACTGAATAACCTAAATGAACACAAAGGGAGAATGAACTCAAGGGTAACATGAAGGCGATTGCCCCCGAATGCCCTGGTATGGCCGAGAGTGGGGTGGGCTCGCCCTCCCTCTCGAGGACGTTAGACGACTCTTTGTGTTCGATCATCGTTGTCTCCGAAGGATTGCTGACATCTAGTGGCAACACCATGTTAGTAATGCAGAGGTTCGGCATCGTGTGTTCGGGCACAGAGACGGTAATGCAATTGGTGTCACCATCTTGAAACACCGACTTCGGTGGCTTGGACATGTTCTACGAATGTCGTCCCAGAGAATTCCACGTCGTGCATTATTTGCCGACTCTGGGACTGGTTGGAAGAAGCGGAGAGGTGGCCAGTATATGACATGGAGTCGTGGGATAAAAGAAAGCTGCAAAGGACTGGCTTCTGTTGGTCCTTCACGACTCCCTGGCTGGGGTCCGAGAGATGGTGTGACACAGTGGCTAGAGACGTTATCAGATATGGCTCAGAATAGAAGCCAGTGGCGATCCTGCTGTAACCTTTTACTTTCTTCATAAAAAGTGGTTGTGTCTCCCTTAACTGAAAGATTTCTTCTGATTGTACCTGTCTGTTCCGCCATTTTTACCATCGTTATTATTACACCACTCTACATCAATCTCTTTTTTTTCTCCTTCCCCTTAAATTCTCATTGTTTTGTGTGGCGCATATATATTTGGCGCATTCTTGTACCAATATTTATGTGTTCAAATAAATCAATAAATCAATGCTATAATGAGTGAAGTGACATTTGGTTTCGTTGGAAAAACTTACGGCAGAATTTGCCGTTATTTATTTAACCACATAAACATTGGTACAAGGGGGCACCAAATATATATGGGCCACACAACTCATTTGATTTGTGTGAGGTCTGGGATACTGCCCGGGCGTTACAGGGCTACCAAAAAGTACGTAAAATTACTGAAGAATCTTTACTTAAATGTCGTAAGTTGACTCAGATTTTATGATAAGTCATTTGGAATGACCACATTAAGTGATATAAGTCAAGGGTAGCAACGTTCTCCGTTACAGAAACACTTAGAAAATAATTCGCACGACGTTTTAGAGACTAAACTCTTAAACAAAGCCAGAACAAACACAGATACAGGATAATATGAATTTATTGTGTCGTGGTTTCTCACCGGATGCTTACGACCCCTTACCTGTAATCTCATCTAGCGATTTAGAACATTTTCTTATTGCGCAAAGGATTCAATACAACTACCACGCAAAGTACTAGGAGATATGTTATGTACCAAGTAAACACACCTGGAAATAAGCTGGAGTATTAAATAAAACTCCAGTGGCAATGCTTTCTGACTTTCCAGCAAAAACAAGATCTAGTATCTGCCTGAATGCAATCCGTATACTGAATGTTTGTGATACTAAATTATAATTCGTGAATCATATGTTGCATCACCTACGTAAGTGGTGGTACTAGATAAGTCTCCGTGACCACGTGGCATCATTATACCTTGCAAGGTCTGACCTAAAGCCTAAAATATAAACTTTTGCCCAGCTTCCGAGTATCAATACGAGATGCAACTTCCCATATCAACTTATATATGGACTAAGAACCATAACAATGCGTACAGATGATCGTGATGTCATAGGAAACCCATCCATTCGAAAATAATCGCGTTTTCATATCTTTAATGGTGGTAGGGTATGAGAAATGGAGATCCTTAAAAAGGGAAGAAACATCAATGAATGAGTTTTCTATGACAACCAGACGAAAGTTATTATCCCTTCCTACACGAATACGTGTGACTAATATATCTTATTATGAACCAAAGAAAATCGGCGTGGTGACAAGCAACAAGAATAGATAAGCATTTAAAATCTATAAACATCTCTAAACATCGCAGATCTTTATGGCAAATACTTTGAGGAAAAAACACACAACGCACCTGACACAGAGGCGCGCTTTTCAATGACCAATATCCCAAACAGACTTGGTTAAGCTGATAAGATTTTGGACCAATTCTTGTTGTTCTAGTAAGATAAAAGGTCTTTGATAATGCCTAATGGGCTGTGGCCTGGCCATTCAACTGATGGTGTTTTATTTGTTTTCGGTGTTATTTTTTTACGAATGCCTGTTACCTTTCGTGGAGTAGCATAGGCCGCCCATCAGCATTCTCCATCCACCTCTGTCCTGGGAAATTCTTTCCATTTGCTATTCATCCTTCTCACTTCTTCCAATTCTCGACACAGTGTGTTCCGTTGTCTTCCTCTTTTCTGTTTCCCTTCAGGATTCCGAGTTGGCGCTTGCCTTGTGATGCAGTTTGATAATTTCCTCAATGTATACCCTATCCACTTTCGTCATCTTTTCTGATTCCCTCTTCAGTTGGAAGTTGTTTTGTTGTCTCCTACAGTAGACTGTTGCTGATGGTATGCGGTCAACGGACACTGTGTATCTGGTGTAGACAATTGTTTATAAGTACTTGTACCTTTTTGATGATGGTTGTGGTAGTTCTTCAAGTTTCAGCTCCGTATAGTAGGACTGTCTTGACGTTCGTATCGAAGATTAAGACACCGATATTGGTGGACATTTATTTTACGTCCCATATATTTTGTTCAACTGCAAAAATGCTGCCCTTTCTTTGCCAATCCTTGCCTTCACGTTTGCATCAGATCCTCCTTGTTCATCAACGATGCTGACCAAGTCCGTGACTCTTTCCATCTTCTCCAGAGCTTCTCCATCACATATGACTGGGTCGGTGTTCTTCGTGTTGTATTTGAGGCTTTTGGTTTTTCCCTTATGTATGTTGAGGCCAACTGATATAGAGACTTCTGTCACAATGTCTTGTCCTGCATTTGCTCGTGTGTACGGGATAGAAGATCTAAATCATCTACAAAGACCGAATTGTCTAGTTGCAAGCAAGCTGTCTATTGTAACCCGTGCTTCTCGTCAAGTGTCAAGGTCTTCATAATTCAGTCAACCGCTAGAGGGAAGGGAAAGGGTGATGGTAAGCAGTCCAACGTATGAATTCTGGATGATGTTGATGATTTTATCAAGTACACCATAGTATCGAAGAATATTCCATAGTGTTCTCCTATCCACGTTGTCAAATGCCTTCTCACAGTCAAGAAATTTAATGAATAGTGACCAGTTCCATTCAACTGATTATTCAACACTGACACAGTGTCACGATTTTGTTTGTGCACGACCGATCTTTACGGAATCTGGCATCGAAGTTGTTCGTCCACTGAATCTTTCGTCCGGCTCAACAACACTGTTGAAAATTTTTCTTGGCTCTAATAGTAGCGTGATTTATTTGTAGTTCTCAAGCTGGTTACGATCTTTCTTTGGTATCCGGACGAGGTATTACGTTTTCGAGTCTGTCGTCACTTATTCTTCCCCATAAATATTTCTGGATATGATATGCAACATATTTGCGGCTAACTCTATATTCAACTTCAGTGCTTCGTTTGGTATATCGTCGGGTCATGTTATTCTCATACCTCTGATGGAGTGACATATATCGAAGGTCTGTCTGTGCTGCTCTGATGTCCGGTGTATTCAGTATAGCTGACCTATTCAAGGGTTTCTCGAATTAACCTACCCAACAGTTTCTCAGCTTTGGAATCTCAGTGATTGGCTTGCCTTCATTTATATAAACTGATCTTTCTGGTCTACTATATTCCCCCACCGGTTACTTCGTTGTGTCACATAACCATCTAGTATTTCCTCCGCTTGCAGCTTTTCCATATGTCGTTGCTAGGTCTTCTATACATTTCTGCTTGTCAGCTCAGAAGCTCTTCTTTACTTGTTTGTTTGCTTCTGTGTATTCAGTCTATGACTTGACCTTATCCGTTATTGTTCGGCTGTTGTTGATTGCCGTCTCCTTGTTCTTCATTTCCTGAGTCTTTTCCAGGGTTTCCATAAAGGTTAAAAATGCCACAAGTATTTGGAGTTCGAAAACGCTTTAACCAGTAACACCTAATATGAATCGAACCCATCAAATGAAATCAAAAGACAGAAGCGAGGAGGTCCGAAGATATATTTGATACGCTATCAATATATCGAGGGTCGACTGATCTAGACTGGCTAGCGATTGAGGGGTTGTTGAGCACGGCGTTCCCACTCGTGATCTGGTGCGGATGCATGGCCGAGCACCTTCAGCTAGGTGAGTCCATTAAAACTAATGTGGCCAGCATTCAATGTCGAGGACTTACAGAGCTATTCATTTTGGGGATTTATCTACCGTTACATGATTCATTCCTTATGATGATGCTTCTTGCAGTTCAGAAACTCCTGAAGCTTTGAAGTTAGTGCTTCTTTGATTCCTTCTCAATTGTCCTCCATAGTAGTTTCTTCTTCTTTCAGTAGATCCGATAAGGCTTTGAGCCTGTTGCTGAGAGCTATCTTGAATTGGTAGAACTTGTCAATATGTCGACGGAATGTTGCATTGGACCTGTGTGATGCTGTTTCAGCAGCTGTTCAGTGCTTCCTTAGCCTCATTTTCATCTTGGCAACCACTAGCTAATGGTGGTCTGAAGTTACGTTAGCTCGTCTCCCGGTCCTCACGTATTCCATTGATCCTCCAAATTTTTCGATGATGCAAATATGATCGATCTGGTTCTTTGTACTGTGATCCGGTGAGACTCATGTGACTTTATGCATGCGTTTGTATGGTAAAATGAGGCCGCCTATAACCATCTTGTTGAAAGCACATAAATTTGCGAATCTCTCATTATTCTCGTTTCTTTCTCCCAGTCAGCCCATGTCGTCTCATGATATCTTCATATCCTCTGTTGTCCATTCTGACTTCGGCGATTGAGTCTCTTATCAAGATGGTCAGGTCCTTTTCTGAGCACTTCGCTATGATCGATTGCACTTCTCATCAAACTGATCTTTATCGTCGTCGTTGCTATGGTTGGTGGGAGCATAACAATGGATAATATTCATTGTGGTATCCCCCGTCTTTGTTTGAAAGATGCTTTGACGATCCTGGTTCCAAGATATCCCCATCCTATAGGTGCTCTACGAGCTTTTCCTGAAAGCATCAGAGCAACTCCCTCAGTGTGTGCAGCATCTTCTTCGTCACCGAAGTACAGTAACTTCTTTACCGAATCTATCTTTTCCTGTCCACACTGGGTCCAATCGGTTTCACTGATTCCGAGAACCGTCAAGTTATATCTCCGCATTTCCGCAGATATTTGATTGGTCCCCCCAGTTTCCCATATCGTCCGAACATTCCATGTACCTATATTAATTGTTGCCATGGTTGTTAGAAAGGGACTCTGTCTCGTGACTTCCGAAGGATCTCGGCTTTTGCCATAAGGTGTCATAATTCTTCGGATTGAAGATCCTTCAACTCAGAGATTAGAGTCCAGGTGGCTTAATTTGTTTATTCTGGTTAGCGTTTTTTTAGCAATGCTGTTTTCTATGGGATGTGGTTGCTGACCACACTCCCCCCCATATATGTGGGCCTGGAACCTGCAGTAACCCCAGAACAGACACGGGCGTCGTTATTTGTGGGTGTGTCTATTCTGTAATCTGAGTTCATTTGACTGAAGGAAGGAGGGATTCTGAATTATGTGTAATGAGGAACCCTATCAGTTGACTGGGATTGCTGTGGCAGTATATCCCTCGATGAGATGGGTGTATATTCTCACCTTGATTAGTTTCTCAACAACTGCGAAAGCAACTGTGCTCACACGCTAGGACATCGACGCACCTATAAGTTTTCAGTAGACCCATCCGACTCGGCAAACGGAGGAGTCTTAAAACAATGGGTAAACAACATGTGACAATCTTCGGCATTCTTCATGAGACGATTGTATGGCACTGAATCGAGGTATAGCACTTTTGGTAGGGAACTCCTAGCCACATTTTGTTCTCTATAGCACTGGCAACACTGAAGAAGGCCGAGAATTTACTCTGTTTACTAATCACAAACCTCTCACCTTCTCTCTCAGCTCTTCAGACAAGTACAGACAAGTACGACCGCCTACCACTCACAAGTAAATGGGTTCGTAGAAAGCTTTCATTCACAGTTGAAAGCTTCACTATCAGCTGTAAACGTTTCACAGTGGACTGACGCTCTTCCGTATGTTTTACTCGGTATTCGCAATTCAGTAGAAGCCGACGTTGGATACACTGTAGCATAAATCGTTTACCGAACAACACTTCAAATCTCAGGAGGATCCGTGAATCCTTCATCAGCTCCAATGAATATGAATCTAGACTGCTACACGAGCATGCTTACAAACTCCATGCGTTCAATTTAACCTGCTTTCATTCGACCACAGTCGTCCAGTGTTCTCATTCAACCTGTCTTACAGCATAGAACACACGCTTTTGTACGCCGCGACCCACTTCGACAACCTCTTGAGATGGCATACAAAGGACCCTTCAAAGTCCTCCATTGTTCACCTATATACTATGTCATTGATAAAAAGAAACTTAAGGTAACGTCAACATTGTCCGTCATAAAGTCACGGTCTTAGAGGCGAACCCTAATGATGCTGATTATCCACTAGTACACTCGAAGGACGCGAGCCTCAAAATTACGATATCTCACACGACAATCGACAATCACGAAGTAATTTCGGTGGTATCTGACACCCGGCATAAATACAACGTGCTCTGGAAAAAGGCTAAGGTTTCCAGAGCACTTAAACGATTACTGTATGTTGAAGAATAGTTTCTAGGTGGAATAAATGTGACCAATTCACCACTATCCGTGTAATGCTAAACTCTCTGTAGCTGGGATTTTCGCCAGTGCAAGTTGAGAATATAGGAGACGACAAGTTACTCTGTACTTTGATGCTATGTATATACTACAATTTATCCATATTCCTAAAACGTAATACGCAAGTAGGATTTCTGTGAATACAATAGTGGTCAGGAGGGAAATGTATACGTTGCAAATATCAAAAAATGATTTAAAAATGGTGCAGGACATTGTTTTTCTTGTGACATGTTTTGTCCCAAATCG